AATATTACAATATACGAAGTTGCAACGAATGTGACTGTCATATTCCCCCTCCTCCTCTTTATCGAATCTCTTTCTGTGGTCTGAATATGTGTAAGAAAGATCAAATAGACAATCACTTCTTTAGTTGGTGTTGAATAGTGCAAGGGAGTAGTGCACGTGCTCGTGGGAATAGTGCTGGGTATAAAGGTAAGTAAAAGCTGGTGAAATTAACAAATATATTTGATTGTAATTTGTATTTGTTTTAATAGAAAACCCTGATACTATTTCAACATAGTAATGTGTTATTGCTATATTCAAATTGTATCAGATTTGTCTATCAAATAAACTATAAATTACAATAAAGAAACAAAAATAACGGTAATACATGAAAAAACAAGCAACAACAACGTATATGCAGCGACAAGCAAAAATGAGGAGAGAAATAATGTGTGAGTGTTTATTCATACATATGTGTTCTTTTTGTCTTTGCTTGTGGCTGCTACGACGTACATTAGCGTATGCATTTGTCACCAAATGTACGTTGTTGTTGTTGTTGAAGCGACAGTGTTCATATTTATGTATATCTTTTTGTTTTTTCTTCTCAGTTGTTTTTTTTCTCTGGTGTCTTTTTTTTGGGTGCTCGTGCATACATTTTTGGTAAGTTGTGACAATACTATTTGCTTTTATTAACTACTAGTTTCTTCTTCTGTTTTTGCAGTCGGCGTTTGGCGTTTTGTAGTTTTTTTTTCACAATGGCTGAGGAATATAATTTAAAATCACTTGGTAAGGCGTTAAAAAATAAAATTTATATTAAACATATATCTTTCTTTACCAGCCCTCCCTTAAATATACATACAATTTGTAATGGAAATACATATTTTAGAAATATGCGGTATTAATAAATAAATAATAAATAAACTTGTAAAAATTACATTTTTTTTGTTTTATTCAAACAAAGGTTAATTTATTATTAAAAATTATCATATGAACTGTTTAGACAAACTGACTATGAAATGTTATTATTAACAATTCTCATGGTTACAAAAATTTAACAGTGCATTGTTAAAACAACAATTTTTTTTTCAATATCAACAATTTTCGTGGTTAAAAAAGTCAATCATGGAATAGCTAAATTAACGATGATTATTTTTAAATACCAGTCAACAAGAAAATGTTTAAATTAACCTTACATAACGTAGACTCCAAATCATGTTTATTTATGGTTAATCTAACCTTGCATAAGGTTAATTTTTTTCTCTGTGTAGCATGTGACGGTTTCATTGGCCGTTTGAAGGCCATAATTCTTGCCAAAGGTGACCAATTCGGACAAATCTAAACTTATTCTAAAATTTGATGCTATTTCCGACATTTTTGCTTTCATTTAATAAAATTAAAAAAAAGTAAAAATTATGGCGTTTGACTTTGTTGCAGTTTTTTCATCTCACCCTGTATATCTATATCTATAAAAGAGGAAAATGTTTGTATGTTTGTTTGTTTGTAATTTATGGACTCGAAAGCCGCTGAACAGATTTTCCTGGAAATTTCCATGTATACTACAACATCGCCTGAAAGTAACATAGGCTATATAAATTTTTGAAATTCCACTTGGAACTGGAGATATGCATCAAAATCGGAGGTACCTCCCAAAAATTTAAATTTGATATGCACAATTCTATTGATCGATTAGAGATACAGTCTCCAAATTTGGAATGAGTGACGAAATTTGATCAGAAAATATATTTTCCAAATTATATTGAAATCGGTTCAGATTTGGATATAGCTCCCATATATATTTTCAGCCGATTTCATGTATTTGATGCATTAAATACGCAGTGTACCTCTAATCTCAATGAAATTTGGAATGTGTGATGGAATTTGTCTAGAAAATTATTTTGCCAAATTATATTGAAATCGGTTCAGATTTGGATATAGCTCCCATATATATTTTTGGCCGATTTCATGTATTTGACGCAGTAAACACGCTGTGTACGCCATATTTCAATGACGTTTGGAATATGTGATGGAATTTGACTAACAAATTTCTTTGCCAAATTATATTGAAATCGGTTCAGATTTGGATATAGCTCCCATATATATTTTCGATCGATTTCGTTTATTTGATGCACCAAATACGATGTGTGTGTTCGATTCCAATGAAATTTGGAATGTGTGACGGGATTTTGATCAGAAAAAAAATTAGTCAAATTATATTGAAATCGGTTCGGATTTGGATATAGATCCCATATATATTTTCGTCCGATTTCAGATTTTTGATGCATCAAACACGATACGTACGTCCGATTCCAATGAAATTCAGCATGAGTAACTAAATTTGATACAAAAATAAATTAGTCTAATTATTTTCAAATCGGTTCAGATTTGGATATAGATCCAATATATATTTTCGGCCGATTTTTCATATTTGATGCACCCAAAGCGATATGTATGTCCGATTCCAATGAAATAATAAATGTTGCAAATTATATTGAAATCGGTTAAGATTTAAATATAGCTCCCATATATATTTTCGGCCGATTTCACATATTTGAAGCTCCAAACATGATATGTATGTCTAATTGCAAAGAAATTTGGAATAAAGGACGAAACTGGGTCATTGTCAAATTTTATTGAAATCGGTTCAGATTTGGATATACGTTCCATATATATATTTTTTCGGCCGATTTCATATATTTTATGCACCAAACACGAAATGTATGTCCGATTCCAAAGAAATTCAGAATGTGTGGCAGAAGTGACGGAATTTAGTACAAAATAAAAAAACATAATTATGTTGAAATCGGTTGAGGTTTGGATATAGCTCCCATATATATTTTCGGACGATTTCACATATTTGATGCAGCAAATACGATTCTAATGAAATTCGGAATAAGTGAATATAAGAAATTCGGAATAATGAATAATATATAATATATATGTTGTGGAATAAAAATTATTTTCCAAATTATATTGAATTTTTTTTAGGTTTGGATATACCTCGCATACGTATTTTTGGTCGATTTCGTATATTTAATCAAAAAAAAAAAAATTCCAACAATATAATGAAATATGGGAGGTGTGACGTAATTTGGTCCAAAAATAAATTTTGTAAAACTATATTGATATCGGTTTAGTTTAGGATACAATTGTTTCCCATAACGCCTTTGCTATGGTATTAGGCTAACAGTAAAAAACTACACAAAAATTTTATTGAGGATAAGATTATTATGGGGAAGTATGTTGCTACCTCGAATTCTCTAAAAGCAACAGAAATTCCACTCAACTTCAAAAGATTGCAGTTTCCTGTATGCTTGGCTTTTGCTATGAAATTAATAAATCCAAAAGACAAACTCTTCGTGTATCCGGACTAAATTTGGCATGTTCCTGCTTTTCTGATGGACAGCTGTCCCTGGCATGTTCACATCTTGGTAGACCAAGAGATTTGTTTGTTTTTCTTGATTTTTTTATTTTTTTTTAAATCACAAAATATTCTTATATAAAATTTTAAATATAAAATCAAAAGGGGTAGCGAAGCGCACCGGGTTCAGCTAGTTGGATATATTTGTTGAATTCACAAAATTAAATTTTACCAACTGCCCCTAATGAATCTCATACTTAATACATTTGTTTAAAATTTCCCCCCAGAAAATCACATTGCCATTGTAAATTTGATTTCAATTTTTTTTGCTTTCGCCCTCAACAAAAATGAATATAAATCTCAAAATTTAAAAACAATTACCATACATTTTCGACAAATTAAAATTGTAAATATTCGTTGCGGATTTTTAATGACTTTGTTGTTTGTTTGTTTATTTATTTACTAATCCAACAGAAAAGCAAAAACAAATAGTAATGGCCGAACTTGATTCGCCGAATGAATTTTGCATTAAATTTAAATAATTTATGTTTTAAACAAATGAAAGGCAATTGCACTCAGTCGTAGCCACTGACTGTGATTTGGCTACTGGGCGACCTCTTTTTCTGGGTGTGCGTGTGTGTGTGGTCCACGAAAGCAAAATTTACATTTCAAAAAACAAAATAAAAATGATTTAAAAATTCTGTTTTCAAAATTGAATACTTAATATTTCTAGATGTTGTTGTTGGTTGCATGCGAAATTGTAAACTATTTGTTTTGTGGCATGTCATTCATTACTGACTTTGGCCCCTGTTTACCTTGGAACGCTTTTAGCTGCTGTGGAAATAAATTGAAGAGCAATAAATTTCATATTTTTCGATATTCAATATGAAATTATTTTAAAAATATTATTAAAGTATTGGAAATAGGCCATGTAGGTCCACGTTTTGGTATAGTCCCCATATAATCGTACCTCCCGATATTCGGTATTTTGATGATTCTAGCGACGTTTATCACCGGGATTGTTTCAAATTTGGTATTTGAAGTTCGTAATGGATACTACAGCCTAAGACAGAAAATTGTCTATATAGGTCCAGGTCTTCGTATAGCCCCCATATAACTGTACCCCCCGATATTCGGTATTTTGATGATTTTGGCGACATTATTCACGGGAATTGTTTCAAATTTGGTATTTGAAGTTCGTAATGGATACTACAGTCTAAGACAGAAAATTGTCTATATAGGTCCAGGTCTTCGTATGGCCTCCATAGTACAGCACCTCCCTATATTCGTTATTTTGATAATTTTAGCGACATTATTCATCGGAATTGTTTCAAATTTGGTATTTGAAGTTCGTAATAGATACTACAGCCTATGACAGAAAATTGTCTGTGTAGGTCCACGTCTTCGTATAGCCCCAATATAACTGTACCCCCCGATATTCGGTATTTTGACGATTTTAGCGACATTATTAACCAGAAATTGGAGGATATTAAAAGTTCGGCCCGACCGAACTTGCAGCTTTTTTACTTGTTTTTTTTTTTTTATAATCTTTTATACCACAGATGTCCTTTATAAATATCCTTTGGTGGCCAAAGAACCATTTAAAGTTACATTTGTTTTTTTTTTGTTTTAATTTTTTATTTACATTTTTTCTTTTTCTTTCCAGCTACCCTCCTTCCATTTTCTGTTGGTGTTACAACAACCGGCGTCATAGCTATCAATCTTCAATTCGATTATCATCATCGTCATGTCTTCCGCCGAAGCGAAACGTGCCTCCTTTGCACGTCGTGCCGAAAGTCTCGTGGAGAGGGTGAGAATAATGAACACCATATATGAGGTATCAAATGACCAAGTTTTTCTTTCGTTTTCGAATTTTCCAAAGTTTTGTTTGCGAAGCGAATGCTGAAATTTAATTTGATTTGCCAGTATCACAAATTGTATTGGCCAAAAAAAATATTGGAACAGCTTTTTTGGTATTGCTTTCCAATAGTTACACAAGCAAGTCATAGAGTCCTTGGCTGTTATGATGCTTTCTGGGAAATTTTTTCACTCAAAATTTGCTCCATGAAATCACAGATAAAATGCTAGAAATTTTCACAAAAACACATTACAACATTTAAGCTTCTTTAGGCTGTTTTCGATTTGTAGTTGTCCTCAAAAATTTAATTCCGACAAACAGAAATCAAGTTTTCCTACAGAAATCCCAAATTCAGGCGGGCTGGATTGAAGTTTTCTCATTGACAATTTGTCCACCCAGCCAGACTGAATCTAAAAATTAATTCCGATAAATAGAAATCAAGATTTCCTACAGAAATCCCAATGTAGACAGGCTGGATTGAAGTTGTCTCATTGACAACCTCATCCAGCCAGACTAAATAGAAGATTTTCCATAGAAAACATTATCCAGTCAGTCTATATTGTCGTTTTCCTATTGGAAAGATCTATTCAGCCGGTCTAAATTGCAGTTTTCCTATGGGAAAGTCCTATTCAGTCAGTCAAATTAAAATTTACCTCTTCATGCCGTTCACAATGTTTGCCTTCTTCTTAAATTTCCAATAATACATATCTTTTCCTTGTGCAAAACAACATTTTATTAATTGAACTCATAAACCTTAAAAACGTCGTCAATATTTCCTTCATTGTTATTTAAGTACCATTACAACAACGACAAACAAGCCTTTATTTCTTCTTCTTTCTTTAAATTAATAAACGGGGCATCATCATCAGTGACATAGCCACTTGAAAAAGAAGAAGAGCAACAACGCATTACAAACACGTTGTAGATATGCACTCACTTATTGCCAATTTAAAAGATCCTTACTCAATAAAGAATTAGAGCGGGAGAGTGGGAGGCCAATACCACAAATGCGAAGAATGAATGAAGAACACAACAATAACAAATCATTTAATCAAATGGCATAACCCCAACAAACAGCGAGCAAAAAAAAACGCAAAAAAGAAACAAAACAAAAAAATTCATGATAAGCCACTGCTCCCCTTGTAAAAAACAACAACAACTACTACTACTATTACACTACCATTATTTTAAGAATAAGAAGAAAATAGCAACAACAATGCCAATATATGAATGCATGGCCGATGATTAGTTGCTGATGGGTGGGAATGGTTGCCGTTATGAGAGCCATGTGTTGGTGGTGGGAGAGAGCGGCAAAGAGACCACAACAAATTTACTTAGCGGAGGTCAAGTTCATTGAGAGGTCGTCGATAAGTTATTGTTTTCTATTAATATTTATGGTTATCATACGCTCATGCGAGTGTGTGGGGGTGTGAGAAGAGGGGGATAGGGTACATTACTTGGGTGTGTTCTCAGTACGGGGTTGAGTGTTAAGAAAAATTATTTATCTTCTCATATTTTTTTATTTTTATAATTGAGATGTTCTTTATTTGGTTATTTATTAGGGAATTGGGAGACGGGGGAGACACACATGAAAGTGGGTGGGTGTGTTCAGTTTTGTTCTGTTGTTGTTGTTATTATTGTTGCCACTACTAATGTATGCTGGGGCACATGCATTTATTATTTGAATAATAACTTGGTGCGTTGGTAATTGAAGTCCATGTCTGTTTATTTTTAACTCGCACATTAAATAACCAAGCGCGAGAACGCAATAACAGCAGCAGCAACAATAACAACAACAACAACAGAAAATGGGACAATCAACTGCATCAAGTTTTTGCAGTTTGTTAAAATTTACTCGCATGTGGTTGCGTTGTCTGTAATGAAAAAAATGTGCTTTTTTTTGTGTTTTTTTCAAAAGCAAAAAAATCACAATTTCAATCAAGTGGCAGTAGGTCTGTCTCACTGATCGTAGACAGATTCTACATGAAAGATGTAAGCAGTTTGGGGGTGCATTTTGAATACAAGTAATGTAATTCGATTATCAAAACCGGGGACATTTTTTAAATCCACCTGTACTTAATTACGCATCCTATGGGGGGAAATTCCATTCCAGCAAAGCTTAAAAATAGTTTATCTTTTATTTTCAGCACATGTGTGTTTTGTTCATTCGAATAGCAATTGTTTTTTTTTTTTCAACCATATCTATATCGGAATATTTATTCAGTTTTCTTTATTTTGCTATGTTTATGTTTACCCCTTGCTATTCTTTGAAGAAGAAGAAATTCGCTTTTGTTTTTTTCTTCGTTGTTGGTATTAGCTTTTGCAAAAAAAAAAAAAAAAAAAAACAAAGAATTAGTATTGTCGGTGTTCAATGTCATTCACACTTCGTTGATGTTTGTATGGATTGTTTTTGCTTTCTTTTGTTTTTGCCTAATTCAATTGGGAGGTGGTGAGGGGTGTGGGTGGTAGAGAATTGAGACACTTTATTGACCCTGTTTTGCAATAGATGACGTGGTATTTCCGTGGAAATTAAAGAAGCAATTTGGCGGGATTTTAAAACAACTGAATTCAGGTTTTAAAGATGGGTAAGGTGAAAACACATAAAACGCTTTATTGTGGCTTAAATCATAAGCTGCAAATATTTGGAAATTAAAGAAGCAATTTGGCGGAATTTTAAAACAACTGACTTCAGGTTTTAAAGAAGGAGTAAAGGTGAAAACACATAAAACGCTTTTTTGTGGCTTAAATCATCGGCTGACTTCTTCGCAAAGTAACAAAGGAATTTTAGGTTGACTTAGTTCGATTTTGGCCCTATGCTCCTTTGATCTTTTCCGAAGAAGCCAGGCGATGACTAAAGCCTGTCTAAAAAAGCGTTTTATGTATTCTCGCCTTAATGCTCCACAAGATTCTTAAAAATTATTTATAGAAAATTTTGTACAGAAAATGAATTTTTCACTCTCACTTTCGAGGGAAAATGTAATTGTCCTCCACACATACCTCAACAAGATTCTTAAAAATTATTTATAGACAATTTTTGTACAGAAAATGATTTTTTCACTTTCACTTTCGAGAAAAAAAAATGCAATTGTCCTCTTGCCATAAAAAAAAAAACATAAAAAACTGTCACAAGTAATGTTCACCCTTCTTTCCTTTGTTTTCATTTTTGGTTTTTTTTTGAAACACTGCCAAAAAGATATTTTAAAAAGCTATAATTTTACTGTCAAAATAACATCGTCCATTGGCCGGAAAGGCAAATGACTTAATTTTTGGTAAACATATGCCAGACACTGGCTGTCTAGTTTGATGAGTTAAAATACATATATTATAAAATCGGACCGTAGAAATACGTACATATATCCCTAAAAGAATACGCACATATAATAGGTGTGTATGATAAACCAATAATTTGTTATATTTTGTACAAATTATTACCGAATGTTGATCGTTAAACCAAATCCCAGTAACGTAACGAAGATATACGAAAAACAACGACATAAAAGATTTTCTTTTTGGCTATGGTCAGAAGCTGCAAGAATCTATTATTTTTGCAATTGTTTTCAATACCATAAAGGGAAAATCGGTAAAACATTTTTCCATTCTTGCAGTTCAATCGTCTGACTTCCTTATAAAAGAAAAAAATGGACTACGGTGACCTAGTTTAAATCGTGCACAGAAATCGACCTAAGTCAACCTAAGACTTAAAAGAGAGAGAAAAAACTATTTTAGGTATTCTCACTCTGAGATCTTAACATTGAGTTGCAGAGAGTTAAAAACACTTGTTGTTATCACACAGACCAATTTTCAATATAAAGTCTTACAGTACGTTTACATGTAAATGGGTAAGCCATTGGATTTCGATTATAATTGTCATATCCATTATTTAAACTTCAAATAAATCCTCTTAAAGCAGATTAACCCTACAAAAAGTCCAAACGTAAAAATGGCATTATTCAGCTTGACTCGATTAATAATTTCCTAATAGAGACCTAATGCAGTTGGAGTGAACAGATGATTTCCCATCAGAAATTTTTTCCAGCTACACTGAATTGTTGTTTTCCTTAGGGAACTCACTTGTTCTATGAAAATTTGAAATGAAAACAAATAAAAAAAGCAGCTAAGATCGGTCGGGCCGAACTTTTTATAACCTCCACCATTCGGAAGGAACATGAAAAATTAAAAAAAAAATCAGTCGAAAAATACCGCACAAATGAAAACCTTAACATGGGGGCTATACGAAGACGTGGTGCTGGATAAATAATTTTTTGTCATAGGCTGACGTTAACGCTTCCGAACTTCAAATACGAAATTCGAAACAATTCCGGTGAATAATGTCGCTATTATCCTCAAAATACCGAATATAGGGAGGTACCGTTGTATGGGGGCTATACTAAGGCGTGGATCTGCACAGACAATTTTTTGTCATAGGTTATAGTAACGATTCCGAACTTCAAATACGAAATTCGAAACAATTCCGGTGAATAATGTCGCTATTATCCTCAAAATACCGAATATCGGGAGGTGCCGTTATATGGGGGCTATATGAAGGCGTGGACCTGCATAGAAAATTCTCTGTCATAGGCTGTTGTACGCATTAGGAACTTCAAATACGAAATTTTAAACATTTCCGGTGAATAATGTCGCTAAAATCACCAAAATACCGAATATCGGGAGGTACCGTTTTATGGGGGCTATACTAAAACGTGGACCTGCACGGACAACTTTCGGTCATAGGTTGTAATATCCATTACGAACTTCAAATACGAAATTTGACGCAAATCCGGTTAATAATGTCGCGGTGAATCCTGGAAATAGGGAATATCTCGGGGTAGCGTTATATGGGGGCTATACTAATACGTGGACCTGCATAGATAATTCTCTTCCAGGGGGTAAAGTACTTAGAGGGAACTTATTTTGTGGATTTTCAGGTTAATCCATTGAAAAATGTGACTAAAATCATCAAAATACCGAATATCAGGGGA